AGATGTTTTGAACAAATTGAAAAAGGTTTGAATGAATATATGCAAGTGATGCCCGAGATGCAGACGTTAATTGATTGTGCAAAAGTTTTCTAAATCACTCGACTACAGTACCCTTTTTAGCGTCGTCTCACAGACTTTGTCGATGTCGTTATCGTGCATTTGCATGTGTATAGAGATATAGTTATTGATTATCTATCAATCAATACCTATCGTTTTATTATAGTAAATTACATATCTTTACCTATATATATATCCATTTGCGAAATGAGCCAAGTAAGTTTGTAAGAAGTTGTAGTGTTCTGCAATTTGTCGTTAAATTTCTTATGCTTGCATGTTTCAAAATGAGTGTTTTAGGACGTGGCGCAGCCATGATCATCGAATCGCTCAATTTATTTTATCATCTCGCTTGCTTCAAATGCTATGTATGTAAAACGCCACTGGGTGAGTTTTTCTAATTCCAATCGATATAATCAATAAGTGATTGAGATTTGAGGAATAAATTGATAGACTTTACCAACTAGAATTGAATTTATCTGTTTATCTGTATTTGATTATTAGACCACAGATGATGAATTTCTAGGTAAAACTCGTCCAAACATCTGCAAGCATTACACATCTAATATGTGACCATCTCTAACTACATTTTAAGGTTCTGGTGCTACTGGAGCTGATGTCCGAGTACGTGAAGGTCGACTACATTGTCAAAGTTGTTACAGTAATGATCGTCTGCAGTTGAGTAAGGTTTAGACACTCGGACGTTTACCGTATCCGCCAAGCCCATACAGTAGTCCTCACATCAGCTTTTTGTTCAAATCGTCTTAGTTACAAAAGTTGTGATTCACATTGCCCATATAAGTCGTATCTTTCAATTATCCATGGAACAGTGCTGCCTTAAAATTAGAATTGTGCAAAGAGATCCCGATATCTAGATCGGTGCAATCGCAGCACGTCAAGTGCCTTAGTCCTTTTTTTCGATTTTTGTAATTTTCCACCCAAGTTTTTTCTTAGTCATTTTCACATATATTTGCTTGCCCCTAACATTTGCAATTATTCAAATAATCATACTTGAATTATTGATGATTGCACTGATGGCTATATTGATTTTATCGATTGATACGTTCGCTACGCCTCCGCAACGCTCATTGTCGAGTACTGCATGTGTTGTTTTCGTAGTTTGTGTGTGGACAGAAGAAGGCTGTGATAGGCGCATCGCTTTTGATTTTCAATAGAATTGTTCAGCAATAAAGTTTATTGTACAGTTTTCAAAAAATCTATGTTTATTGCTGTATTTACAGAAGGGACTATGTGCAGAAAAATCATTCTACAGTAATCACTAAATTCGTAGATTTCCCTACTGTTGCTGTTCGACTTCGATACGTTGGTGCTAGCATGGATCCGGTAGAGACCAGGCTTAGATGACTAGGATTCGATGGCCGTACAGATAAAAGCGGGGCCGACGGCGCCGATTCCGCACGGCTTCGTCGCAAATTTTCGTCATAAGGCACGTTCATCCGCGAAATTTTCTGCAAAAGTACGTCTAATATCATAGTACATAGCATTACCCTACCAGTAATACCTTATTAAGAGCGGTTTTGTGACTGCTTTCCCCGGTCCCTACTGGCATATTGGAACTTTTTGAACAATGTCGTCGTTCAATGACAATTTCTGTTCCGGCGCGAGGTCGAACCACAACCGTACTTGTTGTGCTTATTTTCGACCTCCAATCAATTTTGATTAAACAGTCTTAACAATCAGTCGACGAAAAACTACAAGAAAAAAGTTAACCCAAAAGTCCAAATTCCACAGACTT